GACTACGACTCCGACTCCGTCGCTAATGAAAACCAGCCTTTAGAAAGACAAGAGGTTAATGATGTAATACATAAGAGACTTTCCGGAGGAAATGAATCATCACTTTGCTATCGCTCTTAGGATTACCAGTAAAAATTGTCATTAAAGTTTGTCAGTTACGTCTGTCAGTGAAATTTGTCGGTATGTTTTTGGATCTAAAAAAAATATCACATTATGTCATAGAATAATGAATTGTAATTCTGAAATTCATGACGCATTAGAGAAAATTAGATATCAGTTTTGGGTGAACAAATTCAAAAAAATACTGAGAGGATTGTTGGCATCACCCAAATTGATCAGTTTATTTCCTTTCATGTCGAGGCCGCTTGATAAATCGAGAGAGAAGGCTTTTCAGTGGAAAGAAAAAAAACTAAACGAGTGAGAGATGAGATGACAAGTCTGCCATAAATGTTCAGAGAGGAGTAAAGGATACTATTGACAAAAAAACCAAGATGAATTAATCGAAAACTGCAAGATAATCAAAGTAAAATTGTTCAAACCATAGCATTCATTTACAGTAACGTCCATTCCTAGGTTAATAGGTAATTCTGAGAACTTTTGCCTTTTGAAATCCACTTTCCAATTAGTAACTCTTCGTTGTGTCACTTTCATATCATGCCCTGACATTGGATGCATTTCTACGCAAACAGATCAAGAAGAGGGCAGATTGTACTATCATGGCCTTTTTCCACCTCTTCCTTTTGATCTAAAATTTGTTCTTCGATTGACATTGGATTCTCTTCGCGGACCTTTACTTCCGCCCCTTCCACGACCCCGATTTCCTCTCTTTGTATTCCAGTTTTTCCCAGCCTTTTTCTCTTCCCATCGAAGTTGCTTGTCGCTGGCGCTCCCTCGTTTGACATCATAGGTGCCACCTCTTGAAGCTTTGGAATTTTCAAGCAGATGGGCGAACTAAGAAAAATATTAAAAAGACAAACAAACGATTACAATTAAAAAAGACAGCATAGCAGTAGAGCAATTTTCCATCCAGTGTCGAAAGAAATCCGGCATTGATTTGTTTTGTTATTAACTTCAACAGGTGATTGGTCCACAAAACTCGCGCCACTTTCTTAATTAATCAGACGCAAAGCTAAAACCAAGCACAAGCTGGTCTCTCGCATTTTCTCGCGCCTTTACCTTGAGTTCTCATTGGCTCTAAGAGTAGTTTCCTCTCTTTTGATTGGCCATTGTGATTACTGGGTTTGGTTTTAACCACACTCAATTGAAAAGCACTCTAATTTTCCACCAATGCCCTTTGAGTAACGTTTCTGCTGTCACCTTTTCTTTAGGCAAATGCGTTCTCTCTCACACTACCTTACAAAGATTGCCATCACACTAGGAAGGCAATGTAAACTTAACTGTAAATGAAATAACCATTCTAGCTTACCTCTTCAGCAGACGCAAACACTGAAGAAACATCTCCCCTAACGCACAGAAGGAAAAAAAGCGTTACACTCAACTAATTATGAAGAGGAGAGATTATTCAAAACATGGTATCTTCTCTCACCCTTCAGTGTTTCCCTTTTTGGACTTCGTTTTCGTGGTCTGGCTTCCCTCGTCCTCAGAAAGTTCATCTGAGCTCAGGTTTTCGAGCAAAGCCTACAAGACGAAGGCATTATAACAAATTGACGCATAGTTCATAGTCTAAAGAACTCACTTCGCACCCGTATTTACCAACACGTCACACCAGTCTTCTACAGCGTTGCGTGACAACGTAAAGCGCTCGCGTTATGAAACGGATGATAGTGCTTTATACCTTCTCGTAATCCTTTTCCGTAAATTTTCTTTTCTTGCCTTGTGTAGTAGTTGGCTCCTCTGTAGGTAAGAAAACAAATTGAAATTAAAAACGTTAGCTAAATGGATAATTTCTGCAGTAAACAGGTTACGAGAATAGAAAAACTACTAATTTACAGGATGATATCTTGTTGCAACATCAAATTCCCTCTACTGACCTGCAAGGAATTTATTGACGTATTTGAATTAAGGGGTTAATTGGTGCCGAGCCCTTTTCAAACGGAGAAATCTAAGCCAATAAATTGTACTGAGAAGGTTGTACATACCTGCTTGTTCATCTTCAGAAGATGACAAATCCATAGCGTCATAATCAAATTCTGATGAGAAAAGATTCAAACAACGTCAAACTGTTGGCAGAGGGGACAAATTTAATAGAGAACTATTTCGCTGAGACAACAAGCTGTTCCGTTATTCTAAAATAAATTAACGATATTGAGCCCTCTACATCTGCAAGGTTATTTACCTAGCTTGAATCCGTTTAATCTAAGGCATGCGAAAATGACCTCAGCCAGGGTCAAAAAAAGGTTATAAGTGGTAAATGGAAAATAATAAGAAAATACCTGCGAAATCACAAAGGCTAATCAGAAGAGAGAACGATACCCTTAAGAGCCAAAGAAAACTTGAAGTTAAAACCAAACTGGCTAAGGCGCGGGAAAACGAGGGTGACCAAGTCGTGATTGGGGTTAGTTTTGCTTCTGATTGGTCGAGAGGATGGCGCGAGTTTTCCGAACCAATCACAGAGCTAGGTAAAGCAAAATCTGAGCAATCAAGGATCACTTTCGACATATAATTAAAATTTGCACTAGTAATAATGAGATGAAACTATTTTAAGTGCCATCTTCTGCCGTCATCTGGTGAACTTTTACCTTTTCCCTCCAATTCTTCGTCGTCACTTTCACCCTCGCTGTTTTCGTCTTCTCCTTCGTCCTCCTCATCGCTGGCGATTGCTTTGTTTTTACTCGCCGTAGACATTTTGGAACTCTTCAAGTCACTTATTAAACCGAAAAAATAGAAAAGCTGTCTAAAAAAATCTGAGAGAAGTCTCTCTATAAATAGTAATGAAAACAATATAAATAAAATGTTAGGGTAACTGGTGGTTTCGCCCCATTGCAAGTTGGCCCCTTCTCAATTCGACCCAAACATCTTTTGACTCGTTACCTAACGAAAAGAACGTAATTCCTTTTCTAATTTAATTCGATCAACTGGCAAATTAATCGCGTAACCATCACAAAGTTCGATCAACATGCAAGTGCGATAGGGCAGACGCGAACTTGCAATGGGGCAAAACTTCCATGGCGTCATTTTAGCAGTTGTAGATGTACAGGGAGCGGCTCTCCTTCCACAAATTTCAGGTCATATTGGAACTCTGGGTGTAGCTTCTCGTGGAAAGGTGGGACCCGAGTGCTCGAAAGAAAAGACAAGAACCAACAAAAAACTCCACCCACAGCTGACCTCAGGTCAGGGATTTAAACCTGGGCTTCAAACGCTTTCAGCACTAAGCCATCTCTGCTCACCAACAACCAGTAGATCTGTCACTGCCGCTCAGCAAACATAGCCGCCTATCTTGGGCGTTAGTTAGGGAGGGGAGGAGGTGACGAGGAGATCATCCACATTTTCCAGTACAAGATTTCGACAGTACTTAATGTTTGAATATCCTAAGGAAGCTACCCCTTCATCTGTTAGCTGAAAAACTCATATTGAGAGGTAAACCTCTCCCTCTTATCCAGCTATCTCTTTCAGGCTGTTTTGTTTAAAACAAGGCAAACTAACTTTACCTCGCGAAGTCATACTCAAAGCTAGATCGCTCCTCTAGAACATTGTCTGTGAAAAGAACAGATAAGTTGAAAGTAAATCGAGAGACTATAAAGCATAACTCGCACACAAAAATTTCGACCATAAACAAATAAAACAATACCGAAATTTGTTTCCTTTTCAGATATTTCATCGTCAGATTCACCAGCTTTCTTCTTCCGTTGACTTTCCTTTTCTGCTTTCCGCTTGAAATACCTGAGATATACGAGGAAATATGACAAGTCCTTTGCCTTTACTCAGCGGACGATCGATATAAGAGATATATCGGTGCGTGGGGGGGTATTATTTTATCTAATGGGTTGATAATGTAAATAGGTCATTGTAAAGGGTTTCAAAGGCAGACGTTTCCACCGTTAGCCCTTCGTCAGAACGAATCATCCGCGAACAATTCGCTCTGACGTGGGGCTAACGCTTGAAACGTCTCCTTTAGAGACTCTTTACGATAGCAAATTTTCATCATCAACTCAGTTGACAAAACCAATCAGTATATACTAAAACAGAGGAAAAGGCGCGCTCTGATAGGCTACTAAAATTCCGAAGACCCTTTGCTATTAGAGCAACTCGCACGGGATTGCACCCGAAAATAGCCGGTGTAATCGGTAGAGAAACGAATAAGTTAAAATCATCTTTGTATGCTGTTTTGTCACTGTTTCAATATATTCTACTATAACCAATCACCTAAGTGTCAGTGGCGAGTAGTGGATATTTACCTCGCTCCTTAGTGGCCTAGTAAACATCCACTGCCCACCTCCACTCAATGAAAAGTTGTTAATTATATTCTGATACTTATATTCAGTTTGAAAATGAAGCTGACTGACGGCTGTTCGTAAAAGGAATCTATGCCACTAGTTAGATAATCAATGAATTCAATAATACCTGTGAAAGAACAGTTCATCTTCTCTTATATCTTCTTCTTTTTTAGCAAGAAACTCTTTCGTATTCACTGCAAATGAACAGGAGGTTTAACACAAAATCATTAAACATGACTTTGAGCAAGTCAACATGATTTTCATCGGGGAAATTGCATCTTCTTGAGTTAGAGGGCAAGTGTGAGGTACTTTACTGCAAATCACTGTCGCCCAGATCTACACCTGCAGTGGATGAGAGCTGAAAACTCATTCAAGTACTGCAAAAGTTCCTTTCCGGCAAAGTTTGAACTCTTACCGTTGAGAAAGTTCTAACCAGAATTTCTTTCACTAATTTTGCTTTTCACTAATTTGGAACTTAGCAGGAAAAAAAACTGTGTGAGATTCGCGTTAATCTCCCACAAGAAATAGTTAATCAGAGAGCCTCGATTTTATGCAACAGACCCAGCGTCCTTGGCTCGAGGGCAAAGTTATCAATCCTGGGTAATAGAAAACTACTCTTTAAGGGAGAAATATGCTCCACAAACCCTGTGATTTTATCACAATTAACTTTCGGGAATTGACTCAGAATCTGGGAAAAAATGAAATTAAAGAATCCCCCATTTTGAATATTGCTTAGCAACCTAGCCAATTACCCGAGAAAGTTCTCGTCCCCTTCTTAAGTTATATGTTTGGACAATTGGAATAGCATGAGTCACGTACTCTACTCAAATAATGGTTATCCTTCGATGTCTAGATATGAAGCGGTTGGTGGGCCGGGTCACTGTGTTTAGTTCAACGTAGCGACGTTCCTTGTCGGACCTTTGTACATCTCAATGGTTAGGTTTCTCTTTTTAATTTTATAACGCAGTAAAATGTAAATGTTTATGGTTACTTTTAAATGGTAGATATGAAAATTGTATGTTTTCTAGAGCATACTTTTCCTTTAATTTATAATCAATTGGTTGTGCTCTTGTGCACCGCTTACCAGGCTCCTCGGCCAGCCGGCTTGATGACGTTTTCGGCTGCATCAGTGAACCACCGTGATCTGAACAAAGAGGGGAAAAACACGAATAAAAAACAATTTGAAACAAATTTGAAACAAATTTGAAACAAATTTGAAACAGGTTTCAAATTTTTAAGGAGGGCAAATGTCCTCGAATGATAAGGGAAAAGAGATACCTCGTTCCTTCTGCTTTGGGTTTTTGTACACAAATCTGTCAAGAAACCTAAAATATGACAAAAAGAATTTGAATGTAAAAATGATAATTAAAGTATAGACAAGCAAGAAACATCAATAAAGTACTTTCATGATTTTTGTTAATTTGTTTGTTCGCTTTTTTTGGGTTGTCGTTTTAGCAGTTGTCGTTGGTGATACTTGTTTTGTTCGTTTGCTACAACAAAGATCTGGCACTTAAACTGTCTGCTATCACAAAATTATCTGCTTCGTCAGTTAATGTACTTGCCTACTAACTTATAAAAAAGCTTTTTTCAAATATATCTCATTAATCTATTCATTTATTTATTTGTTTGTTTATTAATTTTTCTCTTTGAAACTATTTTCGCCACCTCCCAGGAAGTGGCTGGTTAACATGTTACAACGGAAAGCGAATAACCGTGTTAAACGGTATAGCTT